AATTGATTCCATTTGGAGCTGGTAGGAGGGTCTGCCCAGGAATTCAGTTTGCCATGGCTGTTAATGAAATTGCCTTAGCAAACATCGTGCACAAGTTCGATTGGGCATTGCCCGGTGAAGCAAGTGGGGAGGATTTAGACATGACAGAAACCACTGGTATAACCGCACATAAAAAATGTCCTCTCAAAGCTGTTGCTTTTCCACACTTCTAAGTTGAGAAATAGAGAGGGCAGTTTCATATTATTGTCAAAGGCTCTAAGCCTGTTACCAACACTGTTAGCACAATAAGAATTGTCAAAATATTATGTAAAATTCTATTTTGTTGTTGTCTTCTGCTCAAGTGGATGAACTCTTGTGGACTAACTCATCCCTAGAAGAAGAAAGAACAACAATTTTCTTGACAATGAGATCGTGATGTTGAACATATATGTAACTTATTGCAACATGAATTTTGACTCTTAAAAAATGATCTTGCTGGGTTTTTTTTTTTTCTTTTTCATTTTTGGTACATGAATTTTGTATCTCCAAAAAAAAGAAAAAAAGAGTCTTACATTAGTTTTTAAATTATTATTATTTTTATAAGTAGCAATTCAAATCGTGTTTAAACGATTAACATCTACTCGTTATTGGTAATTTGCCTATATTTATGTTGCATGCAGCAGGGGCATTTTCAGCTATTGGTTGGTTGGGCTCATGCCCGGCCCAAAATTTTGGCAAAAATAAAAAATAAAAAAATGCAGCCAGCCTAGTTTATCTCAATCATGCCCAGCCCAAAATGTTGGCAAAAAAATTACAATGCAGCCAGCCTAGCCCCAAAATTTTGGCAAAAATAAAAAATAAAAAAATGCAGCCAGCCTAGTTTATCTCAATCATGCCCAGCCCAAAATGTTGACAAAAAAATTACAATGCAGCCAGCCTAGCCCATTTCAATCCTCCACTTAAACAACATATGCAGCCAGCCAAGAATCAAAGGGATCCCGTGCAGTGCAGCCTCAACTCAGCAAAATAGAAATTTTCTACTCCGCAAAATATCAACACAACTTCAACTTCTCTCGGTCTCACAATCGGAACCCCAAGAAAATAAAGAACTTGTTGTCTTTTTTCAAGAAAAAGAATGATGGGTCATCATCTAACACGATGCCTAGCACTTCTTTATCTACTCTAATTTGTGATGAGCAAAATCTTCCAAAGTCTCCCCTTGTTGAGCCTCAAGTTAAAAGAGTTGAGAGTCAAAGAATCAATAAGGTTTGAACATCAATTATCTTGAATGTAATCCAGAATTACGTCGTCTAATATGCAAATATTCGGTAAATGGACAAGATAATGTGCGAAGAGAATATATTCTTTTAGGGCCATGTCAACCCGAGTTAGAAGATTATTCAGGCCACTTAGAAAGGAAAATCTTACGTCGATTTAATAAAAAGTGGTTTGGCCAATTCTGTTGGCTTGAGTATTCAGTTGCTAAGAACAACTTTGGGGAAAAACTACTATTTGATTGACAGGTTGATTCGGTTGACGTCAACTTTTCTTGTTTCTACAGCAATAACAAAACGAGCTTTCTCATGTATGAGAATTATTAAGAATCGACTCCAAAGCACCATAAGTAATGAATTTCTAATTGTATGATCCTCCACATTGAAAGAGAATTTGCCAATACTATTGACAATGCATCAATAATTGAGGAATTTAAGAGTTCTAAACCTTGTAGGGTTAAATTTTAGATTTAAATAATGTTGTTTTGTATTGCATTGCATTTACTTTTTGTTTTTATTTTAGTTTTTGTATTTGTAGATATAGATGCATTTGAGGGTAAGGCTCATTACGTCCCCTCTTACTATGTGTATCTTTTTATGTTTATTAATGAAATTCACTTGTACTGTCAAGTTTAGTAAATAAGTTTTGCCCGGTTAGCTTTCGAATCTTGGAACTGTCACTAGCTTGGAATATGGTGTATCATCTCTACTAAACAGTATAGCCGCTCTACTATACTTATAAAATATTCGAATATATGTTGAACATATATGTAACTTATTGTAACATGAATTTTGACTCTTAAAAAATGATCTTGGGTTTCTTCTTTTTCATATTTGGTTCATGAATTTTGACTCTTATCCCAATTTTGTATCTCCCCCAAAAAAAAAAGAATCTTACGCTAGTTTTTAAAGTAGCAATTCAAACCATGTTTAAACAGTTAACTTCTACTCATTATCGGTAATTTGCCTATATTTATGTTTTGTTTTTAATTTTCATCTCCCGCCAAGTATTATTCCATACGTGTGGGCATATTGTTTTGGTGTTGCTTGCAGTGTGGTGCATCATCTATACTAAACAGTATAGCCGTGCAGCTATACATGTAAAATATATTTAAGTAGTATCCGCACGGTTATACTATTAAAATCTTAGAAAAATTATATATTAGACATAAGTAACTTTACTAATTAGTATTTGAGATATTAAGTATTTTGTTTGGATTTTAATACATAGAAAAGAATTATTATTTTGTATTAGGCCAAAAAAAAGCCAGATTCGTTGGTCCACCTTATATTAATCACTGAAAAGACAATTATATCCTTTTCGTTTAAATTGGATTCCTTTTGATCAGATCAAATCTCTCTCTCTCTCTCTCTCTCTCTCTCTCTCCGCAGAAACGACGCTTTGACAACCACGGCCTTCACCTGCGATGGAATTCTCAAGCTGCTTGACTCGCGGCTCATCCCTTCGGCCTTCACCGGCAACAACAAGGTCTTCTAACTCAAGATGAAGGGCGATAACGATCGCTATCTTGCTGAGTTCAAGATCGGGGCCGAGCGCAATGACTAGTCAACCCTATTTGATCTCATTGTGGAACGTCAAAACCCTATCTGAACCCTAATAACGATTTTCTTCTTGGTCGCGATTGTTGTGTTTTAGTATAAGGTTTCGAAAATTGGGGCTTGGATTAGGTTAGTTTTTCCGAATTAGATGTTTCCTATGATGATTTGATTGGTGATGCTGCGATTAAATTCATTTCGCTTTCTGTTATGTCTATGCTTGTTCAGAAATTATAGTAATTTAATTGGTTTTTTGTGTGCGGGTATGTGGAAAATTTAGGGTTGTAGTAGATTTTGAAGGTTTTATTCAGAAGAAAGGAACTTAGATTTGGAGTTTGGGTGGAATTATATTTGGTTTGAGTATGATTGGTTGTATTTGTCCTTAATATTTGGTACCTCATTGTGTTTGATTGTAAACAGATAGTCTTCTAAACGAGTCAAATGGTCTCAATACTTAGTCTAATGTTTCAGGAGGAGTTCATGTTGAATTTCTTTTTTTTCGAATACTTGGAATGCATGGACACAACTGAATCCTTTTTTCTTTTTTCTGTTTCATTCACATGTGTAGATGTGTTACTTAATTTGGAGAATCTTGCATTTCGTTCCAGTTATTAGTGTCTTTCACATCTCAATCTTTCTCATGGAAGTGGTGTCGCAGTTTGAGTTGTTAACGGCAGGTTGTGGTTCTGAGATTCAAGCAAACTGAGCTATACAAAAGTAGGTCTCATACAGGAGGGATTAGTATTTGAAGACATAAAAGAACAGCACCGATATTGGTTGATGCCATCACTATCATATAATATTTTAAGTACCATTTTGCAATAGTATTTAAACTTTAGTTCAGTGAAATTTTATACAGATTTTGCATTGTAATTTTGCACACACTGCATTGCAGTTTTGGAGTTGTAGTCGATATGGTGGTGTTTCTCCCCTCCGTACTTCCACATGTTATCAAAAAGTTCATTGTCCGTTAGCTTATGAGAGTGTTTTTTTTGTAGTTAAAAATGGCTCATTTACACCAGCAACAAAATAGTAATCCACAACAGCTTCAGCAGCATAATCTTTCTAGAGCGTTCAGTTTGTTTCAGAAACTTCAAACTGCCACAGCTGAAGAAAAGATCATGGTCTTTGATGAAATAATTCCCCAAGCCCTTTCTCTAATGACCGATGTGTTTGGCTAATTTTGTGAATCTTCTCTGCAACATAGTCTCTGTGTTTTTCTTGGTTGGACTCTGTTAAACTACTGAACTTTGCATATATTGGGCACCATTCAGACTATGATATGATGTGGGGTTGCTTAGTGGCTGTTAATGTGCTTGTTTCTATTTGATTACTTTTGGTTCTTGGTTTCCCAACTGATTTTTTGAATTATGATTTTTATGTGTGTCTTAGTTACAAGTTGAAGTAAGATGGACGGTGGAAGAGACAACAAAGATGAGTCTAATGACAAAGGGCTATTTTCATAATTTGTTGGATATGCTGCTGGACACTACCCACAGGTGCCATTTTAGTTGTGTATATGAGTTGGTAATTATAATTGATTGGCCCAGGTTGGTGCCCTTCACACCTCGACTTTCTCATTGAATTATAGTTTTTTACATAGTATATAATTGATGCTATTTAATTACTATTTTTTAGCTGCAACTTCTTATTATAAAGCTCACTTACTATGCATTTGTCTTGATTTGGATATGGTTAATGTCATCACTGTCATATGATATTTCGCAATACCATTTAAGCTTTAGTTCAGTAAAATTTTATACAAGTTCTGCATTGTAATTTTGCGCAAACTACATTGCAGTGTTAGAAACTGCATTGCAGTTTTGGTAATTACAATTGGATTTTTGCTCTTCCCTTGGCCTTCAACCTCACCAATTTGAAGAGTAGAGGCTACTCAGATGAGGAATTGGGTGGGCAAGAGGAGTAGAACTACCCAAGAGCAAGAGAACTCAAAATTGGTCATTTGGAAACTGCATTGCAGTTTTCATTTAATTACAATTAGATTTTTGCTCTTTCCTTGGCCTTCAACCTCACCAATTTGACGAGTAGAGGCTACCCAGATGAGGAATTCGGTGGGCAAGAGAAGAGTAGAACTACCTAAGAGCAAGGGAACTCAAAATTGGACTTTTGAAAACTGGAAAATGCATTGCAGTTTTCATTTAATTACAATTGTTTTTGTAGCTGTTTTCGTTTTTGTTTTTTTAAAACATAATTGATATCTACATTGTATTTTTGTTGCAGTTTCTATTTTTATTTGCAGTTTTTGTGTGAATATGTGTTGAAATGATTTTTTTTTTTTTTTAACTGTTGATTGTTGATATAAATATTGTATAATTGAATAAATATTACAAAATCAAGTTTGATGTAGTGGTTTGTGAGCGAGCCTTCATCCTTTGAGGGTCGAGGTTCAAGTCCCCTCAATGACGGTGGCTGGCAGATGTGGTGGCCGGAGGTTGGAGTTTGACGGTGGCCGGCGGTGGTGGCCAGAGGCGGGAGTTCGGCGGTGGCGGCGATTGACTAGATATGGACATGTGGCATAGTATGCTTGCCTTAGGAGTGTCATTGTGTGTAATTTTGATATTTTTTAATGATATTTTTGTAAAATTAGGTACTACATTTTGGTTTTGGCCTTGTGCTAATTAGATGAAATTGTATTCATATCTTTCAAATTAGTAAACTATATTGTGTTTTAAAACTAAAGCTCTCTGAAATCTTCGAATTTATTTTTACCGTATAGCCGATTGGCTATACTTGTGAAATATTCGGCTATACTTGTAAAATATTCAAATAAATATATTCAAGGCGTATAGCCGATCGGCTATCCTGTTAAATATTGGAATTTATTGACTATACTTGTAAAAGAGGTATAGCCGTGCGGCTTTTGACGAAAAAAATTGAAAAACAAAAACCCTAACCACAGAGAGAGAGAGAGAGAGAGAGAGAGAGAGAGAGTGCTATTTCAATTTTCAAGGGCGATACAGACCACCTCGACTTCGAGCGGAAGACATGGTTTAGGGATGCAACTCAAAGCACCTGTTTGGTAAGCTTCCAATTCGCTATTTTCCCACTTGTATGATTTTGGATTAGACGAATCTTCTCCCCAAATGCAATCATTGACTATTCAGGATAGGTTAAACCATACATTGTTGGAATTTGAAGCAATTGAAAACACAGTTGTTAGTTTTATGCGTTTATAATGTTTGGCATAGTAGAATTGTGAACTATTTCTACAATCTAGTTTGGTGGGTGTTTAGGGAAGCTTGCAATTAATTCTTTAATCTGTCACTGTCAATGTAGTTTAGAGGGAGTTTCTGCGGAGACTATTTTTAGGGCATTTGGGGACCGTAAAGACATGTATTCAGAGCCAAGCTAATCTTTGTGCAAGTCAGGTATTGATTTAATATTCATGGCTTATGGGTAAAGCCCAATTTTCGAGTACTGGTTCTGGCATTGTATTTTCTTGCGCAAGTGTTTCTATAGCTTAGCTATGGTCCCTCCCTCCTCCTTCCCTCTATTTTTCATCGTGATGGGGATCAGGGAATTAGGAGTCTTGAAGACTGTTGGCCTCTTAACTCAATTGCTGTGTGTCATTCAAATACTTAGTTCAATTTGGTTGTAATTTGGCATGCGTATGAACTATGACCATTATGTTCTTGCACAATTGTGGATTTAAATTTTCTTTCATTTGGCAGATACTAGTCCACACTTGCAAGCAATGTGCCATTTCCTCATCTAATGGTATGTTGAATGGTGATAGTTTGTATGTATCACCCCTTTTCTTTTGGCCTTTCCCACAATTGCTCAGTAACCCTGGCAAAATACGACTTCAACTCCTAATAGAAAATATATTTCTCATAGGATTTCTACTTCTTAACATGCACTCCCGATACTTGTTTATTGCTATATTTTGTCCCAAAAAGGAAAATTCAGAAGTACCCTGTTTTGGTCATTGGTAAATCATAGGCAGTTAGCCTTTTGGCCTCCTAAAGATTTAGTTGTGATTATTCTGTTTCTCTCTCCTTAATCTGGTTCTTATTTTTAGTATATTAGTTTCGTTTCAAATTATGATTTCATCTGCACTTTGCAGGTTATGTTCTATGAAGGCTTGAAAGATTGAATAGAGTATGGGAAGCAAAAATAGATATGCAATCCAAATTTCCATATTGGTAGTTCTGTTTGGGGGACACTCATACTAGGAGGATTGGCTAGTGGTGATATGTACCTTGCTTATACTATGTCTTTTATGTCTTGTATAGTTGGATTCAGAAATTTTTTGTAGGGTAATATATTCTTGCCTTCGTTTTTTTTTAGGGCCTCACATTTACGTCTCAAAATTTTCTACAATTGTATCACTCATTTGATGGATTATGGAAGTTGGACGTGATAACAAAAGGGTTTATCAGTTTCCATCTAATGTTTTTGTGAACTTCAGGTACAATGGGTGGTTGGATGCACAGGGGATGTTCTGAAAGCAAATCCAGCTTTAGCTCTTACCTTAATGGCTGCACTACAGAATTTCCCAGAAGGATTGAGCAACACACGAGAAATTTCAGTAGAGAAAAAGGGATTACCTTTACGAAGGGGATGCATGAAAAACTTGTACTTAATCTCTTTCCCATCCGATCTTGTCTGTTGGACAGATTGGGGAATTTTGTTGTATCCAATTAAATAATTTGAACGAGATTTTAATGACGTTATCATGTAAAATCTGTGAATATTTTTTTTTAAGACAAAGGAAATTTAATATATATATATAAGGTACAAAGTGGAAAGGAAGCTTTTTTTTCTCATCTTTTATGTAAAGTTCACGTAATCATGAATGGATAAGATTTGAAGGGTCTGGCGGTGTTTTAATTTGTTGACTTATATGGTTTTAGAAACGGTTAGCGGCGTTTTTTTCCGTCGCTAAAGACATTATTGGGATATTTCACATAAGGTATAATAATCGTTGCGAAACATGAAAAACGGTAGCCAAAACACTTGACTGTCACATATTCACTGAAATGGTGTTTTCCTCTCTATTTTCATGTAGACTCTTTTTTACTTCACCGAAAATGCTACTGGACATTTGGTAAGTCACATAGAGGCAGCAATAAGCTTCATTGCACCCACCCCAACCCAACATCACACGTGCTTAATGTGTTTGGAGTAATCTTTTGTTTTCAAATCATTTTCTGCTTGTCTTATTCTTAAGGGTTTCACTTCTCTGTCTCTGTGATAAGCATGATGATCATATGTTACATCTTCTAAATAAATAAACATTGGCTGGAGCTGGTGGAACAGAAAAATCACCATCATCACAACCCATTTTCTATGTTATAGCAGCCACGTCTTGCTCTTTTCTTGTTTGTTTTGTCTGGCTCCACAAAATGACCCTCTCCCTCAGATTCTTTATTGTTTTCTAATCACGTTGATGGAACTGCATAAGATTTGCATTGACGACAACAATTTGATAATATTTTCTAATGAGAAGTGATCAAACCGGCACTATATTCTGCCATTTTTCCTTAATGTATATAAAGTGAAGAGATTGACAAGCATTCTGATCAGCACATTAATTTGTGACAATTATTAATACAATAGAAAACAAGTCCTCGCCATAAAGGCTCACACCACTATCATATCCCACAATTTTAGCCATTCCCTACAGCTCCAATATAGACATGTAGTCTGCCTCACAATAATCAAACCAGCTAATTGAACCACCTAAGAGCATTTCCACTCTTTTGTCATGGCAAAAGGCAAGGGGAGGAAATGGTTATTACTATTCATATGAATAGTGCCTACTCTAGCAATTTTTTTGTTGGTTTTCCACCCATTGCCATGGCAACCAAGGGCAACCACTATTCGTATGAGAAATGAGAATATGAATTTGTATAGAGTTAAGAATATGGCTACGTATTTATTTATAAAAAAAATCTGAAAAATTTGGTTTTTTTTTTCCTTTGTTTTCAATTTTTTTGTTATTTAAATTGACTGTTGATGTTACAATGACGTCAGCTTGCCCATGCAGCAACCCATGCAAGTCTTCCCTTTCAGACTTGGGTGTCGGAAGCACATTTAGGGGCCTGGGGGTCCCCTTACTTGGGCTAAGGCCTCTTGGTGTAAATGCTCTAAGTAAGTCCATGGCATGTCACCCGAACCTTTCCCCACTAGTTTTCCTCCATGTACAAAACTCACAAATAGTCCATGAAATACATACCAAAATGGGACCACAAAGCTAGGTCCACAAGCAACAGACAAAAAAAAAAAAAAAAAAGACCACACAAAACACAAAGACAATAAAAGAACCTCACATGCCAAAAGCCACAAAAACATAAAGAAATAAACATACCATGTCCACAAAAAACATAAAGATAATTACAAATGATAAAAACATAACCAAAGATCTTTAGACTAAAAACGGACATAAACAAAGACTAAAACTAGCTGCACTAAAAGCACATGCCCAAATCAAGAAAAAGAAGTGAAGGACTAAAAAACTAGTAATACCCTAAAACCACATATGCCCAAATCCAGAAAAAGATGTGAAGAAAGACTAAAAAACTAGCAACTCTCCAAAACCATGTGCCCAAATATAGAAAAAGAAGTGAAGGATGCTTCCACTTACACACGGGTTGAACACCTCCATTTTCTCTTAGCACCATCATTTTCTTGTAGCCTTAAAGTCTAACAACAATCAATATTCAAAGCACAACCTCAATCTCCAGTAACAGTGAGATTCTCTTCCCCAATTTCACTTCTCACTGACTCAATCAACATTCAAAGACAGACAAACACACTACGTACCTTTCCCTATTCAAATATTCGCAACCCAATTTCAACAGGTTGGAACCCTATTCCAAGATTCCCATTTCGCAGCCTTATGAATTTTGCCCCAAATGGCTAATTGTGAAACCCTACTGGACAATCCAATTAAATCAATGTCCCTTGACCAAAAAAAAAAAACTCGATGTCAACAAATGTCTCCCACCATTTGCCACATGAAATGCCCCATTTGGATCCACTTGTCTGAATTTACTAATATACCTATGCCATATAAATAGAGTTAACGACTGTTGTAAGGAACTAGACGGAATAGGGGAACGAAGGACATGAACATAAAGCACCGGGAGTAAAGTGAGCCAATTGCAAGTACACGGAGTAAATTGAGATTTTTGGTAAAGCACAGGGGGCATATCAATAATTAAGCCTCAAAATTAATGTCCAAAACGTTTGACCTAACAAAAGAAGTCCAAAACGAAAAAAATAAATAAAATAATAAAATCCATTTTTCTTGTATGAGAAAAGCCAATTAAAGTCAAGAAAAACAATCACATGCCTAGACAGAAATTGGAAATCGTGTTAAATCCACCCCTTTCGATGAAAAAAGGGTAAATGACTATGAAGTGGAGTATGCAATTGTCACTTTGGCCTACTCATAAATCGCCTAATAGGTAGGCGGTTTCTTTTTATTTTTTATTTTTTTAATTATAAATAATTAGCATAGCCACGGCTATATTCATTAAATATATTATTATATTTAAGGAGTACAGCCGAGCATCTATACTCCATAAATATATTATTATATTTAAAGAGTATAGCCGCATTATTGTACTAAGTTTTTTTATATAATTTTTTTCATTGATTTTCGTTTATTGTAAGGTTAGTTTAGAGCATTATCCATTTCTATGAGGTCATTACCCGAGTTTCTATTATCCCTTTTTGATTTTTTTTACTTTTCCAAAGTTATTACCCATATAAAGAATTTAGCACTGTCTCGTTTAATACTCGTGTTATACACTTACGTACATATTTTTCACCAACCAGAAAATTAAGGCATTCAATATAGAAATAAAACCTGAATATTAAACATTTATAACCCCCACAATAAATAAAATAAAACAGCCAAAATAATTAAATAAATAAAAACGGTTAAATTTTTAAAACCTTTTTTAAAATTCCAACATAAACATCCAAATATCACATTGCATTTTGCGCTAGTAGTAACAGGAAGATGTTTGATTGGAATTGCGGAATGCATACCTAAAAAAAGTCCTCCAAGTGTCCACTGTACATTATCAAGCAGTACAGTCAAATACAACATTCCTTATAGGCATATAAAAGATTCATTTTAGGCTTCTCAGGAATCTGGGTTTCTAGATCTTCATCAATTACTTTCCATGTAGTTTCCATGATATCTAATGTCAAAGTGTTGCTGCCTGTCCCAAATGCTTCAGATCATAGGTGCATTCTAGCATTCAAAACCAAGTAGAAGATGGGTTCACTGATATAATTGCATTTTTAGCTAAAAAGAGTACAACAAATAGGGCAATGATGAAACAGCCAGCAGCTATTTGTGCAGCAACATGTTTTGTGGATGCATGCTGAAAAACACTTCCAAGGACTATGAGAAAACTTGTACAATCCCCATAAAACAAAATTCATTGACATAAATAAGACATCTGAGATCCACAGCGTTGGAAAGAATGAATCTACACAAGTTATAGCATGATGAAAAAATCTCTTCTAAAAAAATAGGACGGGATGGTACTCCACACAGACAAGTTGGTGTCAGAACTTCTCACCAACTGAATTTCAAATCATAGGTGCATCCTAGCTTTCAGAAGTAGTGACGAGTTGAAGCTCTTATGTTATGCAGTAGGAGGGTAATGTGTAATCTACACAGGTAGAGGTAGTCATCGCCGTGGATTAGTCCAGGACCTACCAAGAGCTTCAAGTAGTCGACAGTCTGGTTTTATGATAGATCTCACCAGAATTGGTGCAAAAACTATCCATCTGTTATTCTAGTGAAAAAATTGGAAACCCTGTGAAGCCAAAATCCGCCTTTTGACGAAAAGAATTGAAAATCAGTAACCCTAACCCCAGAGAGAGAGAGAGAGAGAGAGAGAGAGAGAGAGAGAGAGAGCTACTTCAATTTTCAATGGGTATACAGGCCACCTCGAGTTCGAGCCGAAGACATGCTTTAGGCATACAACTCAAAGCACTTGTTTGGTAAGCTTCCAATTCGCTATTTTCCCACTTGTATGATTTTGGATTACAACTCGAAGCACTTGTTCGAGCGAGAACATCAAGCAGTAAAAATGACAGAATAAAATTCTAATCTTCTCCCCAAATGCAACCATTGACTATTCAGCAATTGAAAACACAGTTGTTGTTTTTATTTTATTTTTCAATTTCAAACAGAAAAAGAAGAGAATTCCGTAGCTTAGCTATGGAGCCTGGTATCCAAATGTATGGTCCCTCCCTCACACAAGGCTGACACACATCAGGCATTCATATGAACTATGACCATTATGTCCTTGCACAATTGCGGATTTAATTTTTCTTTCATTTGGCATATACTAGTCCACACTCGCAAACAATGTGCCATTTCCTCTTCTAAGACCATCTCCAACCATGTTGGGGCTAAACTCAAATTTTCACCCTCCAAAATACAACTATTCATGTATTTTCAGGACTCAAAATTTTTTTTCCTCCAACCTTGTAGACTCATAATTTGAGTCCGCAACTTTATTAAATTGTTTAAGAATGATTAACCCCTAAATTTTGTTTCTTGTTAATTTTTCTTGACATTATTTTTGTTTCAACACTCGTGATTTAATTTTCTAAACATTTTAACCTAAAAAAA